CCTAATGCCGCCCCCGGCCGGGCGGGCCTGACCCCCTCTTCCTGCGTTTCAGAGGCTCCTGGAGATCACCCAAGGGGCAGAATTCCTCAGGCTGGAGGTGGAGGGGGGTGGATGCTCCGGATTCCAGTACCGATTTTCGCTGGACACAGTGATCCACCCCGACGACAGGCAAGGAGGAAGGGAAGGGCTGGCGGGTCCTCGGAGTGTGCGGGAGGGGGAGCGTGTGTGTAGTTGAAGGCGCACTTTTATTCCAGATTTGAACGGGTTGCTCAGGATGCTCCACACCACCCTTCCCGCCCACAGGGGGGGATGCACGTGAAGACGGGTTGTCTTGACTCCAAAGAACCCAGTTATAGGAGGGAGATGGGCCTTCCTGGGCCCGCGGGGTCGTTGATAGGAGTTAGGCCGGATGAGATGCCAGGTCAGAATTTCCAAACGTTTCCCAGGAGTCATTCCATTGGCTCTTTCTGCCTCCAAAATCGGCACCTTTTTGGGAGCAATAAGGAATGCTTCCTCTGTTTCCGAAAACCCGGAATGCGCACCTCTCACACCAGGGCCCAGAGTGTCGGGTTGTTGGTGTTTATGATCGTCACTGATGCTGTCCTCCTGTGTGTGGTTTGCTTTTTGTGTTTTTGTTTTTCTCTCCCTAGGGTATTTGAACAGGGTGGGGCCCGAGTGGTGGTTGACTCTGATAGCTTGGCCTTCGTGAAAGGGGCCCAGGTGGACTTCTGCCAGGAGCTGATCCGAAGCTCCTTCCAAGTGCTGAACAACCCGCAGGCGGAGAAAGGCTGCTCCTGTGGCTCTTCCTTCTCTGTCAAGCTTTGATGAGATGGCTGCCACGGGTACCCCTTCGAGGCACCTGGAATTAGTGGAACGTTAGGGGTTTCCTTCCAATCATGTCCCTCCCACGATTTGATTTCCCACAATCCAGGAGTGTTGTGTGTTGCCACTATGTTTTCCAGAATGTGAAGCAATCTTGACTCTTGACTTAATTTCTCCTGCACCCTTCTAAGGCCAAGGCTCTAGGTGCTGTTCCCTAAGGTTTGTTTAATAACTAGTTTGAAACCCAGTGTAATCTGGAGAGCCTCCAAGGTTCCAAAATGTGAGTTGCTTCTCTGGCCTTCAGAGCTGCTTGTACATAGATGTATAATTCTGTATAAAAGCTTCATTTTAAAGCAAGCCCCGTTTACTTGTCTTTTGAATCAGAGTCACAAATTAAATAGCGTGAACACTCATTAGGAGGCCAGAGACGATGGGAAAGGCATCTCACCCTTCCTGAATGTGCTTCTGGACTTACCCTTATTTTCTGTGCAGCTCATGCTCCACTTCCCATGTGCTAGGGCAGGTAGATTTTATCATCACACTCAGAATTCTTTTTTAATTTTATTTATTTTTAAATTTTTATTTTATTTTTTTCCATCACCATTTATCCCCTCTATCCCTCTTACATACTCAGAATTTAGATTCACAAAACCAAAAAGCCCATCACTCAGAAAACAGACCTAACTCCCACTGATGCCTTAATCACTTGAAAAATAGGCTCCACATTCCTACAGACATTTCAAGATTCTGTGATCATTTAGTGACTGAATCTTTTAAGGATATGTGGCTTCATTTACCTTACGGCGTAAAACGCCTCTGGTCTCACACATAGCAGAAACTGGTCCCTTTTGTTGGAATAGATAATAGATACTTGAGGATTTTCTTTTAGGTTGAATTACCAGATAAAATGCAGGATACCCAGTTGAATTTGAATTTCAGATGAACAGTAAATAATTTTTAGTATAAGTGTGTCCCAAATATTGTATGAGATATACTAAAAATTCTTTGTTGCTTTGTTATTTATCTGAAATTTAAATTTAACAGGGCATCCTGTATATTTATTTCTTAAACCTGGCAACTTCATTTTAGGATTACTGAAGTAAAAGCATTTTAAGCCACAAATTCCAATGAATTTTAAAGTACTTATTTGGGCCCTGGGTGGGTGACTCGTTGTCCAGTACACCAAAAAGTTATGGGTTCAATTCCTGGTCAGGGCATATTTCTGGGGTGTGAGTTCAATCAGGCAACCAATCGATGCTTCTCTCTCTCCTTTCTCTCTCTTTCTCCCCCTCTCCCCATTCCTCTCTAGAAATCAATAAAAACATATCCTTGGGTGAGGATTAAAAAAAAATTAAAGTACTTATTTGGGTATAGCATTTATATAGGCTACAGAGCTAGAAATTGTTGTGGTATGTGTCTGACTGCTTGGGGAGCCAGAATTGCATGGACTGACAACTAAAAAAAGACAAAAATACCACCCCCATGAGGAATGATTTATAAATACTAATCTTGGGAAACTACACCCAAATTGATTCTGGAAGAATTATTGGTTAAATACACCTTTTCCTCCAGAGCCTACTAGTAAAAGTTTGTTACAGCAAAAACGTGCATTTCTGGACTGGATCGAACCATTTCTAGACTGAATTAGAATTAAGGTCATTCAATAAAAGAATTTACCATTAAAGAATGGCAATACAGACTTTAGAGACAAAGTATCTGAGATAGAAACTTAGATGCTTACATATTTAACATGGGAAAATCTAGGACTTCGAGAAAACTGATCATGTGTAGACAATGTGTACAAAGAGGAAAGAAGGGGACACTCAGAAACCTGAGCAGATTTCTTAGCAGATTTTCATGGAAGGAGGCAGAAACCAGTGTACCGTGGAAGCATCTGTGTGTAACTTTACTAAGACATTGAAAATAGCTGCCAGTACCTGGCCTAATAAGATTTTCAGCTCAGTCTAAGTCCTTTCATCCTCCCTCAAAAAAGAGATCTTGCTATATTTTAAGTGTTAGAAATATTCTTCCAGAATATTTTTGTGGGTTACTTACTGATTTGGTGATTTTAAAATTTATAGCGAGCATAAGCATAATAGCTTTAGTAGCTAAATAAACCATTGAATTGTAGTGGTTTATTAGGCAGAACAAGGTCTCTTAGAATGCCTATATGTAAGTACCTACTGTTAGTGGGAAACCTGGAATTTTGTGTATAGAAAGAGTGGATTTGGGAGAAATCACCTTATTTCACACAGAAAGCTTTATGGGGGAACCTCAAATAACAAGTCTCCATCGGAGGTGAGTGACAGAAATTTTAAGAACACAGGGCGTGGGGACAGTGGCAGTTTGTTGGGAATAAACAGTAAGCAATATAAAACAGGTTTAGGATCTTTTGCAGGCACTTTCTGACCAGATGTCCTCTTCCTGGCAGGCCATAAAAGCCAGCAGGTAGTTTCACAAATTTTGCTCACTGCAAATTCATTTAGGAAAACTTTATACTCTTTTAGCATCAGAAGGGAGGGTTTTGGGGTTTTTTTGTTGGTTTTTTTTGCCTCCCTTTACTTTCAAGGGGAGGTTATCAAGGCCCTATTTGTTGCAGACTTGATTTTATTTAACTGTATATGCAGGCTAGTCAGTGCCTGGGGCATCATGCCCTACCCGTTGCCTTAGCAAAACATAATAGTACAGGAACCAGAGGCAGGGGAGCCCTGGATCTGCTTTATGTTGTGAATAGCTTTATGTAGTTGCTCCAAAGAGGGGGCCTTTGGCCAACGTCCAGATCTTACCTTGTGGCATGATGCTTTAGTTATGTGATTGATAGTGACTAGTGGTATGAAAACTATAGGTTTCCCACCCACCCTTTGTTTCTCTATGATTAGGAGAAAATAGTAGAAGATACTCTTTTTTTTTCTGAGAACTGAGTACTATTCTTTTGGCCTTTTGCTATAAAGCATCCTAGTGGAAGGTTGACATTTGGCAGGGACATCCTGTGTAGAGAAGTGGGCAGCACTGATGGTCATGGGATAGCTCTCCCTTAGACTCTGGCCCTGAGCTGATGTCACACAGCTTGCAGCGGGCAGGGCCTAACACTGTCCACGGCAGCATGGTTTTGTATGTTTGTGTCAAGCAGGAAACTCTACTCTTCTATGTATCTAAGATAGACATTAATGATTGCTTTTTAAAAATTTCTCTGCCATTTCTCCATGGAAATACCACAAGACTGCTTAAGGGAAGTTTGCTTTAAGAAATTTTGAGTCCAAGCCGGTTTGACTCAGTGGATAGAGTGTCAGCCTGCGGACTGAAGGGTCCCAGGTTTGATTCTGGTCAAGGGCATGTACCTCAGTTGCATGCTTGATTCCTGGCCCTGGTTGGGGTGCATGCGGGAGGCAACCAATCTGTGTCTCTCTCACATTGATGTTTCTGTGTGTCTCTCCCCCTTCTTTCCACTCTCTCTAAAAAATCAATGGAAAAATATTCTCCGGTGAGGATTAACAAAAAATAAAACAAGTGAATTAAAAAAAAAAAGTTTTGAAATAATTATTATCTGGCTTTATTTGTAAAGTATAGTCAGGTAAATATATAAAGAGACAAAACATTTAAATAGTCTATGGCCAGCAGCTGTATTTAAAAATATTTTATTTTTTTGAATAGGTAATACATATGGTACAAAATTCCAAGAGACACAAAAGGGGATACAATGAAAAAGTGTTCCAATCCTGTACCCATCCACCCTGTCATCCTCCCCACAAGTTACCATTGTTTCTAAGAATTTAGCCCACAGGTATATAATCCATAGAAATAATATGAAATAACATTTGCACAAGAATAATCATTATGGCATTGTTTTTAATAGCAAAAGTTAGAAAACAATGGAAATGTCCACCAGTAGGGGACTGATTAAATAAATTATGATTTATCCATTCAATGGAATAGTATACACTTATAAAACAGGGTGAGAGAGCTCGTATGTGCAAGTATGTATTAAGTGTAGAGAGCGCCTGGGAAGGCGCATGAGCTGATTGTCAGCTGAGTCCAGTGGTGTCGGCAGAGCCACGTCCTGGAAACATACCTTGCGAGAGGCAGGTATGTTGTCAGCCTGACCTTTAGCTCAGGCACCAGGGGGTGGGTTTCATTATCTAAGTTCAGCCAGGCGCCAGGAACGGATGCAATTATCTGGGCTCAGCCAGGAGTGACAATTACAAAGAAGTCACAAGAATGAAGAATTGCAGCTTGATCTTTAACCATGATTTCACATAATTTCCTTTGTCTTAAACTCTAGTAAAACTTCCCGGTATCATGCTGTATATAATAAACGCCCTGCACTAGCTCTGGGTCACTGCGTCTCCATCTGAGGGCAGCGTCCCACCTGGTCCCAGCTTTACTTAAAGTCTTTGTATCTGTCTCTTTTTTTCCTTTTCTCAATCCCCAGCCGTCCCTACTCAGGACTCGTCCGCTCTCTAGCCGTGCTGGTCGCGGCCCAAGAGAGAAAACTTATAATTAAGTGAAAAAAGCAAGTGTAGGACAGCATGCATAGCATGCTGTTTGTGTTTTTAGTACATAGAAATGTGTGTATATGCATGAAATATCTCTGGAAGGGCAAGCAGGGTGGTGAGAGTTAGGAGGAGGGGCAATGGGAACAGCACTTAAGGAAGTGCAGTGCCAGCAGGGTATATTGAGGAATGGTGACATTCTCTGAAATA